CGCGATGCCACTTTGAAACAACGAGTAGCCCTGTGTCACGATGAAAAGGTCATCAGACGCGAATTCCAGGTCGGCAGTCTAGTCTTGCGAAGAAACCAGAAAGATTCCCGCAAAGGGAAATTGGCCGCAAACTGGGAGGGACCTTATCGCGTCCAGGGGGCTACGGGCACCAGAGCATACTATCTCGAGCAATTAAACGGAGAATCATTACCACGACCCTGGAATATTGCAAAGCTGGAACAATACTATAGTTAAAGCCCTCACCAACTGTGGACTTTTACCGTCGAACATTCACCTTTAGTCAACAAAGGGAAAGTCTCGACCACGTAGGCGAGTCGAGGTACGGACCCGACCTACCAACCAACAAGGGCATACCGTCGTTCACCCCGATGAGCCGAACGTAAATGCCCGACAGGGACACCTCGATCGAGCTCCACTGTCGAAGTACCCACATGGAAGAACACCCGGCTCGCGATGGACAGTTCACGCCGCGGGCGTAGGACCCCGATCGCAGTCATACACCCGGCATGCGGACTCCACTCCGCACATTCGACACATTTCGAAGTGCATTGAACCGTCACGGGGATCGAATGGATATCTCCACTCGAGCACAAACTTTACCAAGAATTCATTATAAAAATAACAGTCAAGCATATACCTAGATACTAGCAGGTAATTGCAAACAAAACATTTGTCGAAAAGGCAATCATAAACACAGATTAATAATGTACCGACCACAACGGCCAGCGATATTCGAAATTATAGTTTAGGGCATGACGGCCTAAAAAATTAAGAATAATACGGGCACGCAGGCCCCAAAAACAAATACGGGCATGCAGGCAAAAAAAACAATAAACAGGCGCGCAGACCCAAACACCAACAAAATGTCAATCAGTCCCTGGAGTGCTGACGTCCACATCAGAAGAGTCGGAGGGAGGCATAACCTGGTCGTCAACGATCTGAGAGAGAACTCCAACCCCTTCGGTGTTCAAGCCCAGATTTAGCACGGATAACTGACTCACCGCAGCCTCAAACCCATCGGCCAAAGCGCCAATGTAATCTGATTCTAGGAGGTGGATGCGAGCAATAAAATATGAGCGCGTACGCAAGTCATCCATCCCCTCTGGCTCATCCTCGGCGGGCAGCATAGCGGCTTTCAGGTCCTCAATCTCTCTCGACAACTGTTGGTTGTCGCTCTCCAGCCGTTCCCTATCAAGCTGAAGGCAATCTCTTTCCTCGAGAGCCCTGCCAGCCCTCTCCTTCTCCCCCGACAGCAAACCAAACTGTTCGCGGAACATTTCCTCGGAGCGTTCGAGAGTTGCCTTCAACTTGCGAGACTTGGCCGCAAGAGCCACCTTCTCCGACTCCAGCTCTCGAATACGATCCGTGGAATCTGATCCTTCCCCCACGAGGACCACCGCCATCTCGGCCATCTTTACCACACCAACCACACTAGCAGCAAGGTGTTTCCTCCGACCTTCCTTGTCAAGCTGTCTGATGATGTCGACCTCATTGTCGGACACGGTCAGAGGAAACCCCTCAAAGAAGTCTTTCTCCACGAAGCAAGGTGGTAGGCCGAAAGCCCGGGCAGCGGCACCTCCATCAGTCACTTCCGCCCCATCCTCTGGTCGACTCCGCTTCCTGGTGACCAACGCAGATTGGCGCTCGGCGTCAGGAGAACCCGAGGACCCACTAGATCCTTCCCTGCCCGAATCAGTAGGCGGGCCCATCCGCGTGGCTTGTTGCGGTCTCACCAGTCTCTTATTGATCTTCTTGTCCTGGGTTAACTTCAGCAATCTTTCACGACGCTCCGCCATGTGACCTACAAGGGAAGCGAACCGGGGTTAGCTACGTACATTAAAAGCAATTAAAAAGGAATGACAATAAGAGCAAAGCAAGAAACCTAAGAGATCTACGACCTGTCCGTAAGATTGGCACTCGACGAGCGCCTTGGTATTAATCGGACGCGCCTCGAATGTCAGATAGCCATCCTCGTCAAGAATGTCGTCCCCTTCCCTAGTGACCCACCGAGCAGGAAAGAAGCCATCAACAAACTTGTTCAGGACGCCATAAGCTTCCTCTTCCTCAGCACTCATACCCCCAACAGGAGTATGGTAGTGCCCAGGACCATGGTCGTAATGACCCGAGCACCAGTAAATGGGAAATCTGGAGATCCGCCCGACCTCGGGATTACCCTCGGCGCCCAAACATGGCTCCCCATCCTCGTCTACCACAGTGGCCGGTTCGAACAACGAATCTAAGGCCGTCTGGGTGGACGATTGCAATATATACCACTTGTCTTTAAAATCTCGCACGGAATCCATGTACATCCTAAATAGTCTCTTCGACTGCTTAAGAGACACCCAATTGTGTTTCCCTCCTCGGGACTGCAGTTGTAAGTGGAAAACCCTGAAGAACAGGGAAATCGTCACCCCAATCCTCAGGAAGCGACAAGTGAGCTCGAATTCCCGGAGAAAGGCAATCGCATTATGGTGGAGCTGGGAGGGGGCCAGGTTCAGATGGTTGAATACCCCGACCTGGAAGTCATTGAAGGGCAACTGAAGCCCGAGATCTTTGAATATGATCTCGTACATAGGGAATGCATCTTGCGTGAAATCCGAACAGATGCGAGCATCCCTCAACGACCTCACTATCTTGAAGTTCCTTTGAAATCCTTCTTGACCACCGCCATACTCGACGACGGTATAAGCTTGTCTACTACGAAGGCTATAGACCGAAGCTGTTCCCCGGGGCTCAGCACCAACTGAATCCAGTGCGGGGTCGTCGACGGTGTCGACCAAGGTAATAGTTTCTTCCGCTGTGCTTGTCTCCTTGACGTTATTACGCCCCGAGGACTCGGGAATGTCGGCCATTTACCTACAAAGTACAGGAAACCGGTGAATTTGACAGCAAATCTACTTGCCCGCCACAAAGACGAGTAGAAGTAAGAAATACTCAGATCGAGTCTACGGCCATTCGCACGAGAAACGGGAAACAAGTGGATCTCAACCAAACAGCGACCCCCCCCAGCGGCAGACGCACATCAATCATGAACGGCGCGAGCACAACATGAGTACCCCAGGCGAAGCATGAATCCCGCAACCAAGTTCATAATTTTGCTGGCCCGGTACAAGAATATTACGGGGAAACTAGCCTACGTACTAACGAAAGGATGAATCTCCCGACCAAGTTCATGAATCTACTAGCCAAAACGCATGAGTGTCACGGGCACGATCATGAACCATATGCCTAAACTTATGAATATCCCGGGCACAACCATGAATCAGACGCCTAGCGCGCTTAAATTTATCGGGCATAATCCCCAGACACAAGTTTCTACTACTAAAACGTCGTCAAAACTATCTACAACACGAGAAATCAAAGGGAAAGGACACTTACTTGGAAGAAGATTTGAAGAGCGACGGTGGTGAAAGTAATCAGACGGTAAACGACGCAGCGGTCTCAGCGGCGTTATGAAAACTCAAGTAAAAACAGAGAAAATATGAGAAGCGTGAAGAGGTGAAACGAACCATGGGCCCTGGAATCCTATTTATAGAGATGACGTGAAATATGAAACGTCGCGTCGGGGAACCACGAACCGCCCCCGTCCTCGACGCCTACTGGCCTAGACAATGATGGCCCTATTCTCTAGGACGGCATTGTGATTTCCAAGGGCTACACCACGTGCCCAACCGACGCATCCCCGCGAGCGCTCCTCGACGGGGAAAATCTCGACATCGCGCACGCGATCCTCGTGAAAGAGTGAACTAGAATCAAGTCATAACTCCTGCACCAGGAGCAACGACTTGGGGGCTCCTGTTCTAGACTGAGCCTGCCCATGACTCAAATCACCAATAAGGCCCAATCCAAACTGTGCCACGTGCTATGTTGGACATTAGCTCCTCCGAACATACCCGGTCACGGGCTATAGGACTAATACAACCATGCCCGCCGCTGCCCGCGACGAGAGACGTCCCCAACGAGAGACACCCCAGACGAGGAACATCCCAATCCGAGCGTTGCTCGAGTACCCTCCTCGTAGGGCAGACTCTCGACCCCTCCGGATGTTTCGGAGTCCTCAGGGCCCCGAGAAGATCGTGTCTTCATCCTCCTTATTCTTCAGAGCATCATCCAGGTAGGGGACCACGTGCAGGTCCCCACTACTCACGTAGAACCTGACAGTCCCTATGTTGGGCCTGTTTTGGTCAGCCCAATAAAAGGACCTTGGCCCAGCGTTGGGGGCTATAAATACCCTTTATTTCAAGAGGGTCAGGTATTCATTCATTCACACCTACATACAATTCGCCTGCTCATTCCGTCTCTCACTTTATCATCGAAGTGTCTTGCAGGTACCCCCCTATCTCCTTCAAATCCAGTTCGAACCAGCTGTGACGGTCCAACTCTGATTAGAGGTACGATCAATACCATATGTTTGTTACTACCCTTTACTACTTTCTAAAAGAACGAACACCGATTATTTCGTTTCAATTGTTGTCGATCATAGCAATAGCAATACTAAAATGGGCATTTCACTATATCATCACATAACAACCCAAAGAAATAGCAGACAAATTTTCTCAGGCAATAGTCTCGTGTATTTATTTAGCACAAAAAAATTCTAACAAGAATGATGCACTAAAACATCAAAGATTCAGATTCGCTAGTGGCCAAAAAAGGTTATATTCAAATTTTGGGCCATGAATGCCTAAGTTTTCGGAGAACATTTCCTCCAATCCCTAACACGGGTCTGGATACATATATCCAGAAAGAGAAAAAAAACATGGTTGGGCCGTCTAAAAGTACACTTTTAGACAATTTGTGGTACCCAGCAAGTACACTTTCAGAAACATGTGTGGTTTCTTAGTGGAAACGTGAATGCAAAATGGCGCCTATAGTTTTCAGATGGCTGTAAAACTACTATCCAACCTCGTAACAAAACAACAAAAAAGAATGCCTATCAATCACCAGCATGGATCAGTTTAGCCAAGAATGCCTATCTATCACGCAGCAGCAAACGATCTAACTGTTCCTGCATTATGAGAGGGTAAAACGAATTAGCAAAAGTTGAATGTGATGAAGTTTCATGGAAAAGAGCCCCACAAATGTGACTCAGTGATCACTTCCACATTAGAAGGAATAATCTTTGAATTTGTAACAATCAGATATTGAATATAAAACACGGGAAAAAGGAATCATCAAAAAAGCAAAACATGAATACAATTAAAGTTTGTTGCAAGAGTGTTGCTGTATAAGTTGTTTCTACAACAGAAGAGGGAAATGAAGGGAAACTTTGCATAAGTTATGTAAGCTTTTTCTGTAAGTTATTTTCTGCAGCTTATGAAAATAAGTTCATAACAACTTGAAGGCGTATTTTAAGATATATCCAAATACTCTTCCAAATATTTACAAAGTGCATATGTTGCAAGATAATGCCAAATAAGATCTTCCAAATACCTACTAAATATACAACGTAAAGTTTGGTATGAGCAAAGCCTTTTAAATTATCAATTAAGCAATAGGATGAGCAGTTTATGTAGTGTAAAGCATGTTACGACGTTAAAAGATCCCCTGCAACCAACAATTACAACTACCATATGATATTTTTGAATTAATTCAATGATTTTGAAAAGGTAAAAGGTTATATCATTGATGTTGAGAGTAAAAAAAAAGTTAAGCACACATTAGATTCAAGTGATAGATTAAACTTACTATTTGTTCGCTTAATATTCCTGCAGAATCTACTGCCACATTTGCACTTAAACAGCTCGAGTGACTGATCATCGCCATCAAAGTCGATGCCGTAATCCTGCAAAAACACTATGCTCATAAGCTTTTCTAGAGGTGGAAAAATCAATTCATGTAGAAGCTATGGAGATGTTAATTAACCAGTGGATTACACAATGGAGATGTAAAATCACAAGAATGTTAATTACACAAGAATGAGAGGCTATGGAGATGTAAAATCAATTCATGTAAACAATTCAAAGAATGTGAATTACACAAGAATGAGAAGCTATGGAGATGTTCAGTAACAAATGACCGGTCAAGAGCCAACAAACCAGTGTACGTGGCATTTTTTAATTCAGTAGCCAAGTACCACATAGAACTTTATATCAATCATGATTGACTCAAATTATCTCAACTTGTCTGTGTTGCTAATTTATAGGAATAGGACCATTCACCATACATATTATAGAAATAAATCCACATACCCAGGTCAACTCTTCCTGTGCTTTGATTTCTCTGGATGTGAAGAACGCAAACTGCATTTTTGAACATTCAAAAACATCAGTAAGCAATGTTCCTATGGGGTCAACCTAGGCAACAACTATAAGTATAAATGACAAATGGAATTTTGCGGATTCGTTCTCACATGATAGTAGTGATGAGATGGACTCTCAATTTCAACCGGGATCTCAATCAAGTTTGCATCCAAACATCTGCCATAACGGAATAGAATTATTGAGTAAGTGCGGCCATATCACGCCCATTGTCTTCTTACATTAGGCATGAGTTTATTCTATGAAAACAATTAGAAAATGATTTTTTTTTCCTTCTTCAATCATCTAGTCATCCCATTATCTCAAAACCAAACAATTGTTAAAATCTGTATGAACCCAACATTAATAGTCCAACAAGCTAATTAGTTTTCAAAAATTAAACAAAATAGAAAAAATAGAAAAGAATATCTATTGCTAAACTTTAAAAAATAATCACAAATGACTTGTGTTGAAACTTGGGAAATTGAATACCTGTGATTAATAAACCGAGCAGCATTTCCATATGATGCAGCATATAAGCAAAGAGCTTGGTTATCCTTTACAACACCTGAGCCCCATTCTGCATCTAATAAAACTGGTAACGTATATTTTCTAGCCTTGTTCTTCTCATGCAGCTCTTTGACTGTCAGAATTTCTCCAACAAACTCGCATACAAATGCCCCTTTTGGAAGTTCCTCTAAGGTGCGAAGACCCCACCCTTTTCCATCTGAAGTTAAAAACACCTGGGTAGAACACAATCATTAGAGAAAACATTTCAAAATATTGTAAGGGAAATGTGTCAAAGAACAGAAATAATGCACTAGTGTCGCCTCAATGACATCAACATTAAACAATCACCTGCAAGTTGCAAGTTATTCCACGCTGGACAATCCGATTGCCACAATGTTTCCCACAGCCACATTTGCTCCAGCATTCTTTAATAAATTTCCTCTTCAAATGTCCTTTACATGGTTCTAAACAGCCATCATTCTTTGCTGTTTCAAGTGGGCATTTTTTGCAATAGGTAAAACTTTGAGTGCGGCTGTTGGCAATACACTCTTCCAAGAACTCTTCCTTTACTATGCCTTGTGCAGTATAAGCAAAATCCCCTCCAGTTTTATTTACACAAGAACATGGTTTAGATGATAAGACACAATTGCCCATACAAGTAGAACAACAATCTTTGTTCCCAATACACGATAGAGAAATATTAACATATGCATCTTGGAACACCGTGTTTTGGGGCATGTAGTGAAACAAAGGCGGGATATCATTAGCAGAATTATTCACCCATGGAATTTTCACTTTTTCTTCTCCCTTTGTTATGTCATCTGGGTCACTTGGGGAGGGTAGAGAAACCGGAACCTGAGATGCAACCGAGGCTTCATCTTCAACATTTCCGTTCCTGCATTGTGATGCCACTGCGTCGTTGTTACCTTGCTCTCCGGGACTTAGAGGTTCTTTAGAATGAAAGTATGTCAAAAGAAAACTGATCAGACAATCATTAATACAGAGATGAATGCAGGGTTAACAATAAAATGCCAAGAAGAAAAATAAATGGCACAAAAGTAACATTTTTTTGTATAAGATCAAAAACAGATCATTCTGATTCAAAAGCAAACAGAAAATATCTTAAGGCAGGCTGTATGGAAATGCAGAAGTAGTACACTATGCAAGTCGAGACTTGCAAATATAACATAAGTCAAGAAATCACATGGTGGGATGCCATAGAATGCTAGAATTTAAAGGATAAAAAAATCAATCAGTTCCAAAATTTGAACATTGACTTTTGCTGAAAAAAATCATGTATTTTTCCATCGTTTATTATTGGATTTAACAGAAGTTAACAGTAGAGCAAAAGTTGCCAGGTAGATGTTACACCGCACCCAAAAAGATAGAAACTTCTTTTCAAGGCATAGTCAGCTGATTACCAGGAAAAACCATTGAAATGGGAACCTCATAATCTGCCTCTTCATCAATAGGCTCTGCCTTGGGGATGATAAAAGGGTAAGGATGGGGTGTCTTGGTTTTTGGAGACGGAGAGGTTCCTGGTTCAACAGCCTGTTCTTTAGATGGACTTCTGTCGGATATAGATTTTCTCCTTCTTGAAGTATCTAGAGGTGAGACAGGATTCTTTCCCTTGTCAGCAGCGGCATTTCCTCTGGATAACACTGATGGGCTTTGAGGCTGCAGTTCAGAACCACTTTCAGTTACTGTGCCAGGTCTTGGTTTAGGTGATTTCAATGGAGAGGAGGCAGGTGAAGTTGGGCTACCGCGTGATTTCAATGGAGAGGAGGCAGGTGATCTTGGGCTACCGCGTGATTTCAATGGAGAGGAGGCAGGTGATGTTGGGCTACCGCCACTAGTCGGAAGGCCTGATTTCACTGGAGAGACGGCTAGACTTGGGCTACCGCCACTAGTCGGAAGAAGTAAAAATTGACCATCTTGGCCTCTTAAACGCAACCTCTTCAAAGGTCGCACTTGCTCTACTGGCGCAGGAGCTTCAGCCTCAACCCCCCCTTCCTATATATTTGAAAAAACATAATTCATTTCAGCAGCTAAAAATTAACAGTAAGAAAGAAACACGGACAAAACCAAGATTCTTATATAATAACAATGAACAAGCATTGTGCATGTGAGAAATGAGAGTACATTTCATAGAATAGACAAAACAAAAACAAATAGATGTTAATGCAGGAAATAGTATAGACCTGATTATCTTCGTCTTCGAAAATAGCATCGACAAGAGCCCTATAATTCTCTTCTTCAATAAGCGCCCAGTTTCCTTCATACAATTTAATCAGTTTCTTCAACACTGGTTTCACTTTGGATTCATGAATGCCAAGGTTGGTCATTGCGCGGAACGCCGCTATAACTTTGGGATTGGATGGTGCCATTTATGATCAATCAGTCAACAGCTTTCTCTACAACAAAATCGCAATCATATTTCAATGATTTCCGAGATGAAACAAAAAATCATAAATATCAGTTACCTTTACCGAACGACGTTTCAAGTGAAGTTAATCTTGATTCTTGAACACGGTCTTAACAGCGATGATTAATGCAACAATTGAAACCTAGAAACCAGCAAGAACAAAAGAAAAACGTAAAGTAATCGTCGGAGAACGGAAAGCGTAAAGTAATTGTCGGAGAACGGGAAGTAAGAAAAAGATGAGAAAATTGAAGTGAAAGGAAGAAAGGGAAGATAAAGAGACGGAACAGTAAAGAAAACACTGAACCAAAGAGCAAGACAATGTGGTGAAGAGTGTTGAGAAACAAGAAGAGGGTTTAGAATGTTTTAAGTTTTCAATTATTCGTAAGAAGGGGGAGGGAGGGAATGAGTTTGAGAGAGAGAGAGAGAGAGAGAGAGAGAGAGATGGTTTTACCTGAATTTACTGTCGTTTCAATTCACAACAGAATCACTTCTTGGTGCTGGGTTTTACAGAGGAGAGAAATGTTTTATAACAAGAATAAAAAGAATCACCTCCAACGGACGCGCGTCTCTCTCACGCGCTTTCATTGTCACTTACAACCCGACCCGACCCGACCCAATGTTGATGTATTGAAATTAAATGTTTATTGAATTTCACTTTACCGAATAATTTTATTAATTATAATTAATAATCGTATTTTTATAAATAATAGAAAATATATCAACCAATCACAATCAAATGTCAAATTATATAATTATTTTTAATTAAATTATATGAAATAATTAAATGATATTTTTTTTAAATAATAATATAAAACTATTTTACAATTAATATGTTATCTTTCAACTCTAAATAATATTAATTGACTCAATTAATCAATTTATATAAAACTTCAAATAAAAGAAAAATATCCTTTCACTTTCCTTCATTTTTCATTAAAATATGTATAATAATATGTGTATATAATTATGTTATTTTGATTGCATACATTAATTTAGTGGTGGATGGATCCATTTTTGATTGTGATAATATATTTGTTATAAATATGTATTATATTTTTTAAATTATTAATATCCTAAAATCTAAATTGATAAGTGTTTTTTCTGATATTGTTAATTGTTATCGAGAAGTAAATTAGTGTACGGATGTTCTAGCTAATTGGGGACGTAGCTTCAATATGAAAAAAAAATCAATAATTGTCCTATTTTAATTAGGGAGATTTATGATGGTGATTGTATACTTGATCAAATAATGAATATGACTTTAACATGTTGATATTGGTCAAAAATCTTGAAGTTTTAGTGTAGATTTACCACAATTGACTTTTTACCCAATACAGTTGGTTTTGGATCATCTGATCAATTGACTAGGCAATTTTGAGATGCAAGACTTGAAACTTGATATGAGCATTCTTGAAGGTCCATAATGATCCACGAAAGTCAATTAAAGCATTAGAAGTCCACTTGTCCTTGTGAAACTCCAAACCCTAGTTTGAGACATTAGTGTTGAGGAGATGACTTGACCTAGTCAATATTTGTGCAAGCTTGAACCATTAAAGATCTTTGTGAGAAATGTCTTGAGAAAAGAGAGGGCAAATTTTAGGGTATAACAGTTGCCCCTGTTCAATCTTCTTAAATCCGAAGAGTTAGATTGGCGGATCCGTCATTCGTGACTTGAAGGTGGAAGATGATTGAATACTAGAGTGCACAAAAATTTGCACTTGATGATGCACGAAGTAATATGTTAGTTAATTGCGTCGGAAATGGGCTTAAAGATGTCATTCAGAGAGGCGATGAAGAGTTGTCAGAGATGGGCTTATAGATACCATCCAATGTGATTGTTGATATAGATCAGGAGAAGTATCAGAATATATCTTTGATCGATTTATATTAAATCAAGCAGAAGTCTTGAATAATCTTTAACTGGATAACGAATCAGTGTAAATCTTCGGAGCGATTTAACTGAACCATAGAAAGTGTCTACCGGAATGGAATCGAGATAAATCATTGATCGATTTAAACTGAACCAGCAGAGGTCTTGAATAATCTTTAACTGGAGAACGAATCAGTATAAATCTTTGGAGTGATTTAACTGAACCAGATAAAGTGTCTATCAGAACAGAATCAAGATAAATCATTGATCGATTTAAACTGAACTAGGAGGGGTCTTGAATAATCTTTAATTGGAGAACAAATCAGTATAAATCTTCAGAGCGATTTAACTGAACCAAAGAAAGTGTCTACCGGAAGGGAATCGGGATAAACCATTGATCAATTTAAACTGAACTAGCAGAGGTCTTGAATAATCTTTAATTGGAGAACGAATCGGCATAAATCTTCGGAGCGATTTAACTGAACCAGAGAAAGTGTCTACCGGAACGGAATCAAGATAAACCATTGATTAATTTAAACTGAACAAGCAGAGGTCTTGAATAATCTTTGACTGGAGAACGAATTAGTATAAATCTTCGGAGCGATTTAACTGAACCAGAGAAAGTGTCTACCGAAACAGAATCAGGATAAATCATTGATCGATTTAAACTAAAATAGCAGAGGCCTTGAATAATCTTTAACTGGAGAACGAATCAGTATAAATCTTTAGAGCGATTTAACTGAACCAGAGAAAGTGTCTACCGAAACGAAATCAGGATAAACCATTGATCAATTTAAATTGAACCAGTAGAGGTCTATTTGTCACTGATGATATTTATCTGATGAATGATCTTTCCTGAAAAGGTAAAGAAATTAGTTGCGATGCAATTTCATGATGCATGCATTGCGTAATGATGTTCTCAAAATAAATGAGATTATGTTATATGCATTTTATATGCATATGTAATGATGCATGAATATGAAATGTTACTGAAGTTAATCTTTGTCTGGAAAATAAATCATTGACAACTGTTGGGGGAGATTTGGGAAGCTAAATCCTGAACTATTGTTGGAGGTGAAGAATATGTGTATCTTTGACTTTGTTTAGAGTGTTCCACCGGGTATTCCTATTTGCTGTTTGAAGAAACTCTGCATGGAATGTTGATTTATACTTGAGAGATAGAGCTCAGGAATCTTGATTGTTCATTACTCTACTGGAGAATTATAACTTGATTGAGAAGAGTAAAAGTTAATTGGTATCTGGTCGAATTTCAGGCTTTGGTAGAAACTTTATGGGGATAGCAACGACTCTGATGGGAACAAGAGGGTTTTGTCCATTGATTTGTAACAGTCTGAGAAAAGACTCGTGTTGGGGAATTTGTAGTTTGTTGGGGAAATAAACTCTGTTGAGAAGGATATTTTGAAGACCTTATTGGGGAGATGAATTATTTTGGGGAGAACTCTGCAAGGTTTCTTTTTTCAGTTAAGACCAACTCAGCTAGGGAGAGGGTTTTCAGGAGATTATACTTTATGGGGATAATCTTATTGAAGCAATTCTGTGGGGATATCCCAACTACATACATTTGTTAATAGTTAATCATGTTCATATGCATATGTTCATTCAATTTTAATCATTGGACGTTTTTGCACTCCAAACAGAAAAAACAAAAAGTTTGCACTTCGAAGTATATTTGTATTGATATTTTGCCTATAAACATGCGTTTTTGTACAAGGAGACAGAAATCCTAGTAAGAGGAAATTGTCGAAAGAAAGAAAGGAATACAAAGTGAAAACAAAATAATAGACATGTGGAAGTAATCTCGTTAGGTTCTAACTCCTCCATTACCCCTATGTCTTCGAACATCATCCCTTGCCGTTGAAAGAATTTGATTGAATTGATCTTATACCATTGAACTTGGACCTTGGTAATAAATTTGGCTGTAGTGATTTCACGGGACATAGTCGTATGCTGTAATCCTTAACTTTTGCCTGGACCTCCCTTTTGGGTTTTCAGCCCACCAAGATACCCTTTTTTGCCCAAGTCGCCCTTTCGGGTTTTCGACTTTCCAAACGTACAATATTTTGTATATATCCCTAACTTTTGTCCGAATCTTTTTAATTCGCCGGGATGCCCTTATTTTTTCCTAGGTATGTCAACCTAGCGGGTCACTTTTATACATAGTATTTTTTAACTATGTCTGCGTTTACAGGATGCGGGAACTCTTCACCGTCCATAGTAGTTAGCATCATGGCATCGCCAGAGAATACTTTCTTAACAACAAATGGCCCTTCGTAGTTGGGTTCCCATTTTCCCCTGGGACCTCCTTGAGGAAGAATGATGCGCTTTTTTACCAAATCGCCAGTCTGATATGCTCGAGGTTTGATCTTCTTGTTGAAAGCCTTGATCATACGCTTTTGATACATTTGACCATGACAAACAGCAGTCAGTCTCTTCTCGTCAATTAAGTTCAACTGATCCAACCTAGTCTGAATCCATTCATCTTCGCCTAAATCTGCTTCTTTCATAATCTTTAAGGAAGGAATCTAAACTTCCATAGGCAGGACAACTTCCATGCCATAGACTAAATAAAAAGGAGTTACCCCACTTGATGTTCGAGTCGAAGTACGGTAGCCATGAAGAGAAAATGGTAGCATATCGTGCTAGTATTTATAGGTTACTACCATTTTTTGCACAATCTTCTTTATGCTTTTATTGGCAACTTCCACTGCACCATTCATCTTAGGTATGTAGGGAGAAGAGTTGTGATGCTTAATTTTGAACTGTGTACAGAGTTCCGTAATCATAGCATTGTTGAGATTGGTTATATTTTCAGTGATTATCCTCTCATGGATACCGTACCAGTAGATGAGGTTATGCTTGATAAACTGGGCTACAACATTCTTAGTGATTGAGGCAAATGAAGCAACTTCGACCCATTTGGTGAAGTAGTTGATGGCAACAAGGATGAAACGATGTCCATTAGAGGCAATGGGTTTGATCTATCCAATCATGTCAATTCCCCATATTGCAAATGGCCATGGAGAAGTCATGACATTCAATGGAATTGGAGGCACGTGAACCTTATCGGCATA